GCAATTGTGTAGACGAAAATGTTTCATTGATGTCAGAGGTCAGAGGAGAATGGGCATATTGGTCTGAGATGGTAGAGAGGTAACAGTAACTCAAATAACCCCTCGTTGCAACCAAGGTAGGCAGAATACCATCTCTGAACACACAACACATCGAACCTTGAAGCAGATGGGCTACAGCAGCAGAAGACCACACCGGGTGCCACTCCTGTCAGCTAAGAACAGGAAATGGAGGCTACAATTTGCACAGGATCACCAAAATTGGACAATAGAAGATTGGAAATACGTTGCCTGGTTTGATGAGTCTTGATTCCCCTAGAGATGGTTGTGTGTGCGAATCCCAGTAGATCAGCAGTTTTTGAAATACTCAGACCAGCCTGTCTGGCACCAACAACCATGCCATGTTCAAAGTCACTTAAATCCCTTTCTTCCCCATTCTGATGCTCGGATTGAAATTCCGCAAGTCGTCTTCACCACATCTAGATGCCTAAAATGCATTGCGTTGCTGCCATGTGGTTGGCTGGTTAGCCAAGTAACTGAACAGGTGAATCTAATAAAGGGGCTGGTGACTGTGTATATATATATATATATATATACTCTATAGACCTCATACATAGATCTTAGATCGCAAATCCTCCACAGCTGCAGAAGGGAAGCAAAAAACTGCTAGCAACTGCTAAAACCATCTCGACCAGGGGTCTCGAAACGTACTAAACAAAGGGCCAGTTTACTGTCTTTCAGACATTAGGATGGCCAAACTGTGGCTAAGGGGAATAGAAAATGCCTCTTCTTTGGTATTATGGGAGGAATCGTGCCCCATCATTGGTGTCGGTGGGAGGAATAGTGCCCCATCATTGGTATCAGTGGGAGGAATAGTGCCCCATCATTGGTGTCAGTGGGAAGAATAGTGCCCCATTGTTGGTGTCAGTGGGAGGAATAGTGCCCCATCATTGGTATCAGTGGGAGAAATAGGGCCCCATCATTGGTGTCAGTGGGAGGAATGGGGTCCTATCATTGGTATCAGTGGGAGGAATAGTGCCCCATTGTTGGTGTCAGTGGGAGGAATAGTGCTCCATCACTGGTATCAGTGGGAGGAATAGTGCCCCATCATTGGTGTCAGTGGGAGGAATAGTGCCCATCATTGGTATCAGTGGGAGGAATGGGGTCCCATCATTGGTATCAGTGGGAGGAATAGTTGCCCATCATTGGTGTCAGTTGGAGGAATAGTGCCCCATCATTGGTATCAGTGGAAGGAATAGTGCCCCATCATTGGTATCAGTGGGAGAAATAGTGCCCCATCATTGGTGTCAGTGGGAGCAATAGTGCCCCATCAATGGGTCAGTGGGAGGAATGGTGTCCCCATCATTGGTGTCAGTGGGAGGAATAGTGCCCCATCATTGGTATCAGTGAGAGGAATAGTGCCCCATCATTGGTGTCAGTAGGAGGAATAGTGCCCCATCATTGGTATCAATGGGAGGAATAGTGCCCCATCATTGGTATCAGTGGGAGGAATAGTGCCCCATCATTGGTGTCAGTGGGAGGAATAGTGCCCCATCAATGGGAGGAATAGTGCCCCATCATTGGTATCAGTGGGAGGAATAGTGCCCCATCATTGGTGTCAGTGGGAGGAATAGTGCCCCATCAATGGTATCAGAGGAATAGTGCCCCATCATTGGTGTCAGTGGGAGGAATAGTGCCCCATCATTGGTATCAGTGAGAGGAATAGTGCCCCATCATTGGTGTCAGTAGGAGGAATAGTGCCCCATCATTGGTATCAATGGGAGGAATAGTGCCCCATCATTGGTATCAGTGGGAGGATAGCGCCCCATCATTGGTGTCAGTGGGAGGAATAGTGCCCCATCATTGGTATCAGTGGTCAGCAATACTGCCACATCATTTCTATCAATGGCAGAAACTGTGCCCTATCATTCTCATCGCTGGTATCAGTGGGAAAAATAATGCCCTGTTGTTGGAGTAAGTGGGTGGAATGGTGCCCCAAGGGCCAGAAAAAAAGGCAAGCAAAGGACCACCTGCCCCCCAGGATATAGTTTGGAGACCCCTGATCTAGACATATGGAGTATCACCTCACATATAGGGGCTTTCATTATCATCTGAATTATCACATAGTGGGGGCTTCAGCGCGCCTCTATAAATACCTCCCTGGGGTCCCTCCTCGCCAATGGCACCAAAAAGACTACCAGAAATGCATGCCCCCTATCCCCACCACCCAGGAAAGGCTACCCCCTCCCACATCCAGCATGACCAGCTGAAGATCGGGTGCGTCATTCCTGTTTTGTAATCCTTGCTCGTATAAATCCAGTACCATCAAACTGTATGAATACTTGTGTGTATGTATAATGGTCACTATCTCTGGTCTCCCAGCTACATTAAATAGTCTCTTTTACCTGCTGTTCCCACTGGAATTCGATATTTATTGGGGTGGAGCCCCCAGGACATGATATTGGGGTTCATTCTTAAATTCATTCGTCTATCAGGCAAGCTAAGGGGCAGGCATAGACACAATTCTTCAGATTGTCGCTCTAGGCTGAATATTTGCTTCTCTCCCATTGAAAGGAAAGAGGAGAAAAAAAGATAATAAATCAAATCCCATGATTTAAACAGCTATTCATTTCTAAACATGATCCCACCGTCTGATCGGAGCGGAGTTCCTCCTTAAACAAAAAAATCACAGTTGTGAGTTGTCCTTGTGATGGAATATATGTAAAAAAAAGCAGTTTGTGTTTTCGGATGTCGGGATGACAATTCACAGCGGTAGGTGCGATGGAGACATCACCTCCTCCTCGTGGCACGCAGACATAGCACGGCCTCTGGCAGGCGAGGAAAGTTCGCTCAGTCGGAATCGGAGTCAAAGTCGTCATCTACAAGGTAAAGACAAGGTCACCTTCGGTTTATGTGAATGCGGGATATAAAATATACACTCTGGGGAACCGCTGACTTTGAAGAGGAACATGTGGCTGCCAGCTGGGGCCTCAAAAACATTTCACTGTAACACAAAGGATTGTGGGAAGAGCCGGCCGCGTCTTCGAAAGGAGAAACATTAACTGCTATGGCTGAAAATCACAGATGCCTGCCTGACATGCTGATCCAATGGCGGCGGAAGTCGATGACCTGGATGAAGCATGCTGGGATGGACTTCTGGCCTTCCTGATCTGCACATTTATTATTATACAGGATTTATATAGCGCCAACAGTTTGCTCAGCACTTTACAATATAACGGGAGACAATACAGCAACAATACAGTTCAATACAAGAGGGATAGGAGGGCCCTGATCCTGGGAGCTTACAATCTAAGAGGGAGGGGCTACTGGTACAAAAAGGTAATAACTGTGGGGGATGGACTGGTAGGAGGAATAAAAGATTCCATTATTAGCTGAAGGCAGGATAGGCTTCCCTGAAGAGATAGGTTTTCAGAGATCACCTAAAAGTGAACAGAGTAGGCGATAGATTGGGGTAGAGAGTTCCAGAGGATGGGGGAGGCTCCAAACAAGTCCTGGAGGCAAGCATGGGAGGAGCAGACAAGGGAGCTAGAGAGCAGGAGGTCTTGTGAGGAGCAGAGAGTACGGTTTGGGTGATATTTGGAGACAAGATTGGTGATGTAATTTGGGGCAGAGTTATAAATGGCTTTATATGTTATTGTTAATGTTTTGAATTTTATTCGTTGGGCAATGGGAAGCCAGTGGAGGGATTGGCAGAGAGGGATGGAGGACACTGAATGGAGGTCAGTGGAGGGATTGGCAGAGAGGGATGGAGGACACTGAATGGAGGCCAGTGGAGGGATTGACAGAGAGGGATGGAGGACACTGAATGGAGGTCAGTGGAGGGATTGGCAGAGAGGGATGGAGGACACTGAATGGAGGCCAGTGGAGGGATTGGCAGAGAGGGATGGAGGACACTGAATGGGAAGCCAGTGGAGGGACTGGCAGAGAGGGATGGAGGATATTGAATGGGAAGCCAGTGGAGGGATTGGCAGAGAGGGATGGAGGATATTGAATGGGAAGCCAGTGGAGGGATTGGCAGAGAGGGATGGAGGACACTGAATGGAGGCCAGTGGAGGGATTGGCTAAGAGGGATGGAGGACACTGAATGGAGGCCAGTGGAGGGATTGGCAGAGAGGGGTAGAGGACACTGAATGGGAAGCCAGTGGAGGGATTGGCAGAGAGGGATGGAGGACACTGAATGGAGGCCAGTGGAGGGATTGGCAGAGAGGGGTAGAGGACACTGAATGGGAAGCCAGTGGAGGGATTGGCAGAGAGGGATGGAGGACACTGAATGGAGGCCAGTGGAGGGATTGGCAGAGAGGGGTAGAGGACACTGAATGGGAAGCCAGTGGAGGGATTGGCAGAGAGGGATGGAGGACACTTAATGGAGGCCAGTGGAGGGATTGGCAGAGAGGGGTAGAGGACACTGAATGGGAAGCCAGTGGAGGGATGGAGGACACTGAATGGAGGCCATTGAAGGGATTGGCAGAGAGGGATGGAGGACACTGAATGGAGGCCAGTGGAGGGATTGGCAGAGAGGGATGGAGGATACTGAATGGGAAGCCAGTGGAGGGACTGGCAGAGAGGGATGGAGGATATTGAATGGGAAGCCAGTGGAGTGATTGGCAGAGAGGGATGGAGGATATTGAATGGGAATCCAGTGGAGGGATTGGCAGAGAGGGATGGAGGACACTGAATGGAGGCCAGTGGAGGGATTGGCAGAGAGGGGTAGAGGACACTGAATGGGAAGCCAGTGGAGGGATTGGCAGAGAGGGATGGAGGACACTGAATGGAGGCCAGTGGAGGGATTGGCAGAGAGGGGTAGAGGACACTGAATGGGAAGCCAGTGGAGGGATTGGCAGAGAGGGATGGAAGACACTGAATGGGAAGCCAGTGGAGGGATTGGCAGAGAGGGATGGAGGACACTGAAAGGGAAGCCAGTGGAGGGATTGGCAGAGAGGGATGGAGGACACTGAATGGGAAGCCAGTGGAGGGATTGGCAGAGACGGGTCGAGGACACTGAATGGGAAGCCAGTGGAGGGATTGGCAGAGACGGGTCGAGGACACTGAATGGGAAGCCAGTGGAGGGATTGGCAGAGAGGGATGGAGGACACTGAATCAGAAGCCAGTGGAGGGATTGGCAGAGAGGGATGGAGGACACTGAATGGGGAGGCCAGTGGAGGGATTGGCAGAGAGGGATGGAGGACACTGAATGAGAAGCCAGTGGAGGGATGGCAGATATGGAACAGTTAGTGAGGTGGATGAGTCTGGCAGTAGCATTAGTGATAGACTGAAGAGGGGATAGCCTGCGATGAGGTCGGCCAATGAGGAGGGAGTTACAATAGTCAAGGCGCGAGATAATCAGGGAGTGAATAAGTTGCTTAGTGGTTTCCGAGGTTAGGAACGGGGGTATCTTGGAGATGTTGCGGAGGTGAAGTCTATAAGATTTGGACAGTGATTGGATTTGGGGCTGAAAGGACAGATGGGAGTCTAGGATTACACCTAGTACTCTGCACATGCTGGCGGCTCAGTGACTCGGACAGGACTGAAGTACCATAACAGCCAGGCAACTGTCATTTTCAGGAGAAGGTCAGCAGTGGCCCCCTGGCTCTCCCATAGTAATAAGGCTACTTTACATAAAATGAATGCAGAGGAAATCTGTTAGATGGGTCACACGGGACAGTTTTCACGGAATTAAATACAAATTCTTCATTGAACACTAGACATGTGCAATTTGTTTTGCTCCGGATCAAAATTCAGACAAAATTTTGTTATTTGGAGATTTGGATGGATCTGAATACTAATTATATTAGTAATGAATTTAAACGAATCCGAACTAAAGAAACTAAATTTCAGCCAAATTCGAATCGGATTTGAAATTAATTTGAAAATGAAATCCAAAACAAATTTGAAATGGAAACATATTATTTATTTATTACAGATACTTATATAGCACCGTCAATATATACGCAGCGCTTTACATATATACAGTTGCAAGAAAAAGTATGTGAACCCCTTGGGATTATGTGGAGTTTTGCATGAATTGGGCATAAAATGTTCTCTGAACGTCATCTAAGTCACAAACAATAGAAGAACACAGTCTGCTGAACATAATACTACACAAACAATAGATGTTGCCATGGTTTAATTGCACATAACATGTAAACATTCACAGTGCAGGGAGGAAAAAGTATGTGAGGCCCTAGCTTAATGACTTCTCCCAGAGCTAATTGGAGCCAGGAGTGAGCCAACCTTGACTCCAATCAGTGTGATGATATTGGATGTGTTGCTGACAGCTGTCCTGCCCTTAAAAAACACACACCCTGTTTTGGGTTTACTGGTTTCAAGAAGCACTGTCTGTGAACCATGCCTCGCAGAAAAGAGCTCTCAGAAGACCTACGATCAAGAATTGTTGACTTGCATGAAGCTGGAAAGGGTTACAAAAGTATCTCCAAAAGCCTTGATGTTCATGTGTCCACGTTTGAAGACAGACTGTCTACAAATGGAGAAAGTTTAGCACTGTTGCTACTCTCCCTAGGCGTGGTCGTCCTGTAAAAATGACTGCAAGAGCACAGCGCAGAATGCTGCATGAGGTAAAGAAGAATCCCAGAGTGTCAGCTAAAGACCTACAGAAATCTCTGCCACATGCTAACATTTTTGTTGACACATCTACAATAAGGAAAACATTAAACAAGAATGGAGTACATGGGAGGACACCACGGAGGAAGCCATTGCTGTCCAAAAAGAATATTGCAGCACGTTTGAAGTTTGCAAAAGAGCACCTGGATGTTCCACAGCACTACTGGCAAAATATACTGTGGACAGATGAAACCAAGATTGAGTTGTTTGGGAAGAACACACAACACTATGTGGGGAGAAAAAAAGGCACAGCACACCAACATCAAAACCTCATCCCCACTGTAAAACATGGCGGAGGGAGCATCATGGTTTGGGGCTGCTTTGCTGCCTCAGGGCCTGGATGGATTGTTGTCATTGATGGGAAAATGAATTCCAGAGTTTATCAAGACATTTTGCAGGAAAACGTACGACCATCTGTCCGCCAACTGAAGCTCTGCAGAGGATGGGTGATGCAACAGGAAAGTGACCCAAAGCATACAAGTAATTCAACATAACAATGGCTGCAACAGCACAGAATACGCCTTCTGGAGTGGCCCAGTCAGAGTCCTGACCTCAACCCCATTGAAGTGCTGTGGCATGACCTTAAGAGAGTGATTCACACCAGACATCCCAAGAATATTGCTACACTGAAACAGTTTTGTGAAGAGGAGTGGTCCAAAATTACTCCAGATTGTGCAGGTCTGATCTGCAACTACAGGAAACGTTTGGTTGAGGTTATTGCTGCCAAAGGAGGGTCAAGCAGTTATTAAGTACAAAGGTTCACATACTTTTTCCTCCCTGCACTGTGAATGTTTACATGTTATGTGCAATTAAACCATGGCAACGTCTAATGTTTGTGTAGTATTATGTTCAGCAGACTGTGTTCTTCTATTGTTGTGACTTAGATGACATTCAGAGCACATTTTATGCCCAATTCATGCAAAACTCCACGTAATCCCAAGGGGTTCACATACTTTTTCTTGCAACTGTACATATATATATTCACATCAATCCCTAACCCTCAATGGGTGTACAATCTAAGGTCCCTAACTAACATTCATACATACTAGGGAAAATTTAAACAGGATCCAATTAACCTACCAGCATGTCCTTGGAGTGTGGGAGGAAACTGGAGTACCCAGAGGAAACCCACACAGTTACAGGGAGAACATGCAAACTTCAGGCAGGTGGTGCTGTGGTTGGGATTTGAACCAATGACCTTAGTGCTGTAAGGTGGAAGTGCTAACCATTTAGCCACTGTGCTGCCCAATATTGCTGACTATTGCTGATTTCCTTCATAGACTTTGGGGGTGGGGGGGGGATTTACTAAAGCTAGTTCACTCAGAATCTGGTGCAGCTGTGCCATGAGATGCCATGTTGAACTTCCAGTGACCAGTATGAGAGTGATAACACCAAATTGAACACACCCGCTCCCCATTCACACCCTGAGACCTTGTAATACTAACCAGTCACATGACACCGGGGAAGGAAAATGGCTAATTGGGCCCAATTTGGACCTTGTCACTTAGGGGTGGACTCACTTTTGCTGCCAGCAGTTTAGACATTAATGGCTGTGTGTTGAGTTATTTTTAAGGGGACAGCAAAAATTTACATGTTATACAAGCTGTACACTGACTACGTCACATTGTAGCAAAGTGTCATTTCTTCAGTATTGTCACATGAAAAGATAGAATCAAATATTGACACAATTGTGAGATACTGTATATAGGGAAGTGTTTTTCTTGAGCTTTTCAGGCACTTGTTTTACCGCAAAAACGCTTCAAAAACTCCTCAGTGTGAAGACACCCTAAAGCAGTAGTTCTCAACCTTCCTAATGCCGCGACCCTTTAATACAGTTCCTCATGTTGTGGTGACCCCCAACCACAAAATTATTTACTCAGTAATTATAATTCATGAGTGTCATTTTACCTCCAATACAGCTGCTTTCTACACAGTAGCTGCTCTTTACACATCGGAAATATGTGTTTTCTGATGGTCTTAGGGGACCCCTGTGAAAGGGTCGTTCGACCCCTAAAGGTGTCACGACCCACAGGTTGAGAACTACTGCCCTAAAGCGATCATCACTGGACTGCTTTTCAGAGGTGATATGGCACCTCCTCATCACCTGTATTAAAGAATTCCGGGCAAAAGTATTTTTCTCCCATGCAGTGGAGCTGTGCCAGCACTGCATGGGTTAACAGCTCATTTTTGTCTAGAGGATTTCAGAGCGGAGATATACTTACCTAATCTGTAAATCCTCCAAGCGCAAGACCGGTCCCCGCAGCTCCTGCCCCCCCCCCCGTGCACGCTAGAATGGACTGTTCCTGACGTCTTCACGCTCATAGACTGGCTCTGCTCGTGAGGATGGAGGGAGCAGTCCACCGCTGGACGTGGGGGAGTGTGGTTTTCCGAGCCGTTAACCCATGCAGCGCAGGCACACAGGCCCCACTACATGGGTGCAAATCAAATGTTCAGCTGCTGGTGTTGGGGAGTCCTTACATAATAATCGGACATGAGACACGAGTTAGCGGCCCGGCCTGTACTTTATACACAATTTCCTGTTTTCTTCTGTGTCATGCGTGCCATAGTTTCATCCTTGCAGCATCATTTCCTGAATGGATCAGGTCACCCTCGAAGAGCAGAGGCAGGACGTGCAGCTGACTCTGATTACCGGAGAACACTGACAGATCTCCTAGCAGAGGAACACCAACACCCAGAACAATCCAGGAAAAAAGATCTTATTTCACTTAAGTCCTCATGCACACGGGATGTTTTTACAGCGGCTGTATTTGGCTTCTTTTGTTTTTTTTATCTAAAGCCAGTAAACCCCCCAGCATGTTCTCCCATGTGTCCATTCACACATAGACTAATGCAGGCCAAATATGGGTCGAAAATTGGCCGATTTTTCTTTAAAAAAACAAAAAATCGGTCGTTCAAGCGGCCGACGTTACCAGCAACGGTAAAAAAAAATTAGCCGATTTTCATCCCTTCTACAGCCAGCAAAAAGTGTCCCTGCAGAGAGCTCCGCTATTTCTTTGACAGTTCCTTGACATTTATAGCGGTTGCAACAATGTATCTATTTGTATCCATTTAGGATACAGATGTTTTTTATTCGGAAACAAATAGATACATTGTTGCAGCCGCTATAAATGTCAAGGAACTGTCAAAGAAATAGCGGAGCTCTCTGCAGGGACACTTTTTGCCGGACTGGAATTCCTCTTCTTCTTCATCCTCTTCTTCTTCTTCCTCTTCTTCTTCTTCATCCTCTTCTTCTTCATCTTCCTCTTCTTCATCTGCTTCTTCTTCTTCTTCTTCATCCTCTTCTTCTTCTTCATCCTCTTCTTCTTCTTCTGCATCCTCTTCCTCTTCTTCAGCTTCTTCATCCTTCTCTTCTTCTTCATCCTCTTCTTCTTCTTCATCCTCTTCTTCCTCTTCTTCATCCTCTTCTTCTTCTTCATTCTCTTCTTCTTCTTCTTCATCCTCTTCTTCTTCATCCTCTTCTTCATCCTCTTCTTCTTCATCATCATCCTCTTCTTCTTCATCCTCTTCTTCCTCTTCTTCATCCTCTTCTTCTTCATCATCCTCTTCTTCTTCATCCTCTTCTTCTTCATCCTCTTCTTCATCCTCTTCTTCTTCCTCCTCTTGTTCTTCCTCTTCTTCTTCCTCCTTCTTCTTCTTCCTCCTCTTCTTCTTCTTCCTCCTCTTTTTCTCCTTCCTCCTCCTTCTTCTTCTTCATCCTCTTCTTCTTCTTCCTCCTCCTTATTCTTCTTCTTTCCTCCTCCTCTTCTTCTTTTTTTTTTTCCTCTTCTTTTTGTCTTCCTCTTGCAGGTCACTGCTCATGTACAGATTTTTTTTTTATCGGTAAAAAGATTGGCCGATTTGCCCATCATTGCCACAAAAAATCGGTTGATCGGCAAAATTGGACGATTTTTTTCCAACTTTACCGATAAAAAAAATCTGCCAAAATACCGA